CAGACTAAAATGTTAACTATTATTAAATTACCGGAGAGTTATGATATTTTAATTCTGAGAATTGCTTTTACCTAATATCCCATTATAATTGTAAACCCTACATTGTATGCACGTGCCATTTTAGAATTCACGTGGTACAAGTAGACAGAGATAAACAGAGCTAACTTGTACGACCCTTGATTTTCCGGCAGATTCTAATTACGTCAATTTTGTGTGAGGAGAGAATATTTATTTTTCTCAAACTGCTTACTTCAACTTTTTACTTTATTACTTGATGATATATTTGGTAAATGTGAATGAAAAAGCACACGATTTGCAGCCGTATTGCCGCTTTAAATACAGTCAAACCACGTTATCAAATGACTCAATGAGTAAAAATACTTATCAGATATCATAGGATTCCAGATACTTAGAATAAAAAACAAAAAGAAGCAGTGGCGGGAAGATCCAACTCACTTTAGACATATCCATGGTGTTTGAGAAATTGGATGTTCAAGAAACCAAAGTTCAATTGTGTCTAATTTTACACTCCTCCAACTCTTGCTGACCCTCGTACAATGGCACTGTATATGACATCTGTTCATAATAGCTTTTGAAGTCAGTCAAAACTTGTACACAAAAGGTCTATAGTATCTACACATATTTTTTTCTCTCTATATAATACATCTATTAAAAATTCCTGTATACAAATATGTACTAGATAATAAATATATCACAGGTATTGGAAACAAAAGACTTCTCAGAACTACAGTGCAATACATTTACAAATACTTGTATCACATTCAAGTACTTGGCAGAAATCTTACAATATGTTTTTATGTCTGACTATATCAAAACAATTTCAAACTCTCCTTAAATTTATAAGTTTAATTTCATAAAATTTTAGGTGATAAAAAATCATGCATGATAAACAGAATAACTGCAGTCTTAATTACATTGACGAGATTGGTACATGTATTACAGCTGTTAAAGTATAAATTTTTTGCAGGAAACCCTTTAAAAAATTCGTAAAAATATGACTTTTTTAAAAGATAGTGTATACAATGTAAGGATAAAAATATATCTGTGAAATAAAACACATAGCTTCTTTTCCAGTTTTGGTGCGACCGAAATCATAATGATTTCCATAATGAATTCGATTTTTCATTTTATTTATTTCATCATTTCACTAAAACTGAATATTTTTCTCATTATTAATTTTAAAAAAAGTTTCTTAATTCTTATTCAAATGACATGTAACAAAATGATAAGGAAGATGACATCTTCTAGTAACATTTCTTTAATATTTTCTGGAAAAAGTCCAGGACCCTGTTAGAAAAAATATGAATTCTTTTCAAACAATCTATTGCATTTTGTAGCAAACAAAAACAATACTATGCCCATTGAAACTATTACTTAAATCTGAGTTAATATGGAAATGGACAATGCGGCTATAAGACACTGAAATGAATGCCTTAGCAATAGAGACTGCTGATGACTTTAAAAAAAACACACACACAGACACACAAGCAGATCAATTCTAAACTCTCACCTTTTAAATGTCACATTTTCGCAAGTAAAAGTAACCAGCAAGTCACAGTGATTATCTTAACCAATACGGTACACCCCTACTAATGTGTTCGGAACTTTTTATTTTTCGGTATTCTGCAAAGTGTAAAACCCGATGAGTTCAGAGTAGCTCTAGCAGTGGCTCGGGCGAGAGTTAGCGAGATTTTAGCGAGATAGGGTAAATTAATCACGGAAATGTGGCTAGGAAGTGACTAGCAGGTGGAGGCATGGTAAACAGAAAAGTTATGGTGCGTTTCAGTTTTTACCACCCTAGAATAAGTTGATAATGTCTGTAGAAATGTACTTCAATCAATCGATCTCCTTTACATTCATTAAAACTTAAATAAGTATTCTCTATGATACAATTTTCTGCTGTTATGAATTAAATTTTTTTTTGACAAATATTTTTACATGGAAACAGGGACTATATTTTTTGGATTCAGATTAGCAAATGAGGCATCAGCATGATTTTAAAAGACCAATGAGCTGAATGAGTTTTGCATTATGGGTTACTACTAGTACTACAGGAATTTTATGCTTGAAAGAAATCTAATGGTAAATGAAAAGCATTTTTAAAAGTATTATTTTCATGCTCATAATGACAAACAATTCATTTATTACTATTTATTATTTATTTATTATTATTTATCTTTGTATTTTGTTTTCTCTAATTTTTGCGAAAAGAATAAGATATATTGTTATTTTAACACCCCCTCCTTTAGCCACCCTTTTTCTGTTGTAAATCATGAAAGTCTTTCAGAGAGATCTGGAAGCATTTATTACACGACATGTTTTCAACAGAAACAGTCTATAGCAATATCATGTTTACTGCCAATTTTATTTATAAAACCGGTTCTACCCTATAACCTTTGAATAGATCAACCTAAACCACGTGTCTTGAATTTAAATCACAATAACATTAATAGGGGTGCGGTAGATAAACTGGCCATCCGTTCTTGTACAATTGATGACTAGCGTCCATTTTGCCTGGAATTCAGTGTTAGAATGTGGGTAGCCTCCAGAAGAGCCACAGCGAGTTGTGAGACATATTCCCTGAGACGATTTGTTTGTGTTTTGAGCTCACTAGTGACTCCTTCATCCTTGGAATGCATGGTACTCACTACCAGAAATGCCTAATTCCTTGACAAACTATAGTGTTCAAACTGCAAAACTTCAAGAAAGCAAAAACAAGAGCTCATGGACCTGTTCACCTGAGTATTCAACTTTGGCCTGCTGTACCTTCTTCACCTGATTCCCCCCTTGTAATAGCTACTGTGGCCCCACTTTACCCCTAGGTGTCAGGATTTGAACAAATTAGAATCTACACTACCTCAGGATGCTACCACTTAAATATCAGCATTTATGGCCCTTTGGTTCTAGAAAAGAAGAATTAAAGACATTTTCTACATATTTCAAAATTGGATTCCCTGTTGTGGTCCTGCCTTGCCCCCGGGGTTATGATTAAAAACATTTGGAATCTACACTACCCCTGGATGCTTCCATATAAGTTTTAGCTTTTCTGGTCCAGTTATTTTTTAGATGATTCATTGATGGTATGTTGTTTAACGTCCCTCTCAAGAATTTTTCATTCATATGGAAACCACTTGCCGATGTAGAGCAACAAATTTTGTCCTATGCTCGCCACTCAGGGCCATTGAGCAGTGAGGGATCGTGCCAGCACCTACTGCGACATGGGAGCTCAGTTTTAGTCTTATCTGATGGATCGGTCTCCACATCCCCCGGTGGGATTTGAACCTGCGACGCAAGGATGACTCCTTACCTTAAAATCCAAGAACATTGCAATTTCATTAAGCCAGGACGACTCTAAAGCAGACGCTCTAACCATTGCGCCACGCTGGCGACGTGGTTCTTGAGAGGGAGATTTTTTATACCCCCGATTGAAAAGTAGGAGGGTATTCTGTAATCGGTATGTCCGTCCGTCCGTCTAGCTGTCTAGCTGTCCGTCCGTCTGTCTGTTATGCTAGGGGTACACATCTCTTATCAGCAACTCCTCTTATACCACAGAGTGAAATTTAATAAAACTTTCACAGAATCTTTATCACATACTTCCATTGTGCACCTCCTACTTTACTTTTTGATACGACACATATTATGGGTTTCCCGGCCACAGCAAAACATGGACTTTGCCATTATAACCATATGGGTGGCGGGGGGTATCATTTAGTGAGCTCATTGCTCACAGTACCTCTAGTTTCTACATATTTCAATGTAGAACTGGGATTCCCTATTGTGACCCCATCCTACCCTCATGAATCATGATGTGAACAATTTAAAATCTACTATACCCCAGGATGCTTTCACCTAAGTTTCAGCTTTTCTGACACAGTGGTTCTCGAGAAGAAGATTTTTAATGACCCCACCCTATTTTTGTCTTTTCTTGAATAGATTTCGCTCCGTGATCGGGAGGTCGTGAGTTCGCATCTCGGCCGCGACCGACCTAGTCGTTAAAATGGGAAGCAACTGTTCCTTCGCCATCCGCCCGGCACTTTGAAGTGAAAGTTGCCGGTCCTTCGGATGAGACCTTAAAAGCCGAGGCCCCGTGTCAGCAGCAGGCGTTGGCACGATAAAGATCCCTCACTGCTCAATGGCCCTAAGTGTCGAGTAAAGGTCAAAATTTGAAGCCCTTCACCGGCATACGGTGACGTCTCCATATGAGTAAAAAATTTTCGGGAGGGACGATATTAAACAATATACAATCAATCAATCAATCTTGACAAGATTTGCTTAATTTACAGCATATTTTCATCCTTGTATAAAAGTTTGGTGAGAATCTGCGCAGTGGTTATTGAGAAGACTAGATTTTTTGGCAACCAGTACTTTTTTGGCTAATAAGAGCTAGCTAAAAAATACACATAATTATATATCTTTTATAAGAAATTTTGAATAATTTTGTAAAATAAATTTGTTTACTTTATAACATATTTTTCCTGTAATAACATACTATATTTAACACAATTATTCATCTGATGCTAAAGTACAGTTGTACATGGGAGATTTAAATCTATATTTATCACCACCAAGGAAGTAAATTACAAATCTCGTCTGAGTATCGACTAAAATCTCACTCCGACATTCCAAAGTTTGTTGACAGATAAGATATATACATTTAGAGGTCATTTGTTTCAAAAGTAAGTACCTGGGATTCCTGCAGACATGAAATTCAATTTTTTCTGGAAAAGGGCATTTTGCTTACTCAAGTCCTATTCGTCTAAGATAATCCAAAATTTAATGCTACAGAATAGTTTACAAACTGTACTCCTTTATGGGGGCATTCCATTTCAGTCTGACTTTATTCAGACAACTAAAATACAAAAATATATCATTTTCTGAAGATGATTTTAGTTTAACTTAAACAATTAAAATCAATATGTAAAACTGTTCTAATTTTGAAATCCATATGTATGTCACAAACTTTTCAATGTTAATTTTAGATGGCTCTTTCCAAACCGAAAATTCCAGACACTCCTCAACATTATCTAAAGTGCGATATTAAAAATTGTGATGGTCATTGTGAATTTTACTGCAATTCCTGTCATCAACAGATGTGTAAACAATGCAGAGACCAACATCTGAAGATTTCAGAAAATAAGAACCATGAGATGGTCCTTTACCAGCAACGTAAACGACAACTTCCTGTGGAAAAATGCAAGATCCACCCAACTAAAGATATAGATATTCTCTGCAAGGAATGCAATACCCCTTTATGTTCAAAGTGTGCTACAATGCAAGAACACCAGGGGCATCGGTTTAGTGATTTAGAAACTATCTACACAGATAAATTTGAACTGTGCCTAAAGGAAATCTCTAATATCCATAATTATTTCATTCCTACATCACATGATGTACAGAGAGAAGTTCAGGAAGATGCCATAGAAGTTAAACAGATCATGGACAGTATCCGGACAACCATGAAGGCTGATGCTGAATCTCTCAAAAGCATGGTGGACACAGTTCTCTCAGAAAATATGGAGGAATTGAACCAAATAGAGAAGTCATTACTGGAGAAATTAAAGAGCCAAGAGAAGACATTTGATGATTATATTACATATCTCAGTGACCTTGTAAAAGAGTTCCATGGTTACTTGTCATCTACTAAGCTTACTAACTTCACAATTAAACTTCCAGAGAACTTACAAATAAAATCCATACCAGAAACCATAAAACCTGTCACACCAGAATTTTCTTCTGCTCAATACAGCAAAAAAGATGTCGCTAAATTACTAGGGAAAATAACTGAAACAAGTAGAATGGAAAAATTAAGAAGAGTAAAGCCCATGGAAATTGCATCTTTTTCTACATCAATGAAATCTGCAAGTGAACAGACAAAACAAGATAAAGACGTGAAATGTGACAAGAAACAAACAATGTCTCTATCTGCCTCTGTCACCAAGGTCAGGGAGTTCAATGTACCTGGTGTTGATGGTGTATACCATGTATCACTAGATCACTCAGATAGACTCTGGATCAGTGACAGTAAGGGTAATCTTGCCCAAACAGATCTACAGGGCAATGTGATACATATGATAAAAACCAGTGGCGGAAATGAAGGTTATCACACAGTCACACAGGACAGGGATCTGATCTTTACAGAAAAAGACAAGAAAGTCATCAACAGGATAACACAGGGTAATAATATCACTGAATTCATTAAAACTGGAGACTGGACACCATACAGCATACACTCCTCCCACATTAACGGGGACTTACTGGTTGGGATGATGTGTGGGTTTGGAGAGGGTGAAATCACCAGGTACAACAAGTCAGGAAAAACATTACAGAACATACAGAGGGATAACAAAGGACAGGGACTGTATGGTTATCCACACTACATCACAGAAAACATCAATGGAGATATCTGTACATCAGACTATTGTGCAGACGCAGTAGTGGTGGTGAACAAATCAGGACAACACAGATTCTCGTACGGAGGTCAGGAGTCAGTGTTTCATCCCTATGGAATCTGTACCGATGTCCTCGGTCACATACTGGTGGTTGATCACTACAGTAAGAAAGTTTACCTCCTTGATCAGGATGGTCAGTTCTTGTCTTCATTACTCACACAACAACAAGGGGTACAAATACCCCGCAGTGTGTGTGTGGATGATAAGAACAATCTCTATCTGGGACAAAATGCCACAAACACACTGACAGTGTACAAGTATCTGAAGTATCTGAAGTGATTATAATTCTATCACTTGTATATACCATAATTATAAAACTTAAATTTGTGATTTCCAGCATAGACATGCAGATCCTGAATAGTGTTCCTTCTATTGAACATTATACCGAACAAATTATACATATTGTAAATTAATTTCAATGGAAAACATTGTATAAACACTTCTTTGGATTCGGAATTAAGTAATCTGTCTATTGTTCTATATATGTATAAATGGTGACAAAATATGGATCAATTTACATTAAAAACAGTTTAATTGAAATGCTTATACTCAGTAATTAATTTATACTTACCGTGAAGTGATTTAATTTTAATACTGATGCTTTTAAAACATATTGTTATCTTATATAAATATAAAATGATTTTGAATAACACCATACATGTGATAAATTTTAGACACAAATCCTGTACTGTACAGTAGTCTTTGAAATGCTAGACTGAAAATACTGTACATTGTTCATCAAAAAAGTGTACAAAAATTTATTTTAAGAGGGTATTTATATATATATATAAATTTTGAGTCAATGACAAGGTGTTCCACTGCAAGCAGTGTTAAAGGTACTTGGACACAGATTTGAAGTCAATATTTTCTCTATAATATTACGACTTACATATTTTAATGCATTTCACACAAAAATTAATTCAAAATCTTATTTCATTTAAAAATTATTAAAACTTCAATTTTTTGGCGGGTTTGATTGACAAATCCTTGCACTTTCACAAATTTTAACCTTATTCTTAATCCTTGGGAAAAGTGGCAATTTTGTTGTGTATTAATGAGAAATATTAAAACTTTTATCCATAAAAACAATTTTATTCAGAGTAGAAATGTTAGAAAGCAAAACTCCTTCACAAGTATCGTCATTCCGAACTAAGAGTTGCGTACAGAATTAAGCAAATCGAGCACACTCGTGTTATATACACAGTTTTTGTAAACAGGGCACGAGTTATGTTATTGTTTATATTCACAATTCACCGGATGCGTTCAATCGTCACAGTCGGCTTACCACAACTGCACGGAGTGACAATATATTGTGTGTTTGTTTTGCTTTCGAACATGTCTACTTTGAATTTTCTGGATTAAAGTATTATATTTTTCATTTATACAAAACGAGATTGCCACTTTTCCTAAGGATTAAAAATTAAATTAATTTGTGAAAGTGCAAGGATGTGTCAATCAAACCCGCCAAAAAATTTGAAATTTTAATATCTTTTATATGAAATAAGATTTTTAATTAATTTTTGTGTGAAATGCTATTAAAACATATAAGTCGTAATATCATAGAGAAAATAATAACTTCAAATCTGGTTCCAAGTACCTTTAAATGTAATTACTCATTTCAAGAAACTATTGCGGCTTTTAGAATTTCAGCAATCCCTATGGTCAATGCTGAACTTGGTAAAAGGACTAGTACAGTGTTTAATGCACGAGTCTGGTCAACTTAATTCATTTACATTTTCTAATAATTCAAAAAGCATTTTTCTTCCTTTGTGTTAGACTGGACAATACTTAAGCCTTAGCAGAGAAAAAGTCAAAGATTAAAATTCGTGTTGCTGTCACACAGTTGCGCTGTTAGATTATATTGTTTCTCTTTGAAATGTTGCCCGCATGGCACAGTGCTTAGAGAGTATGCTGCTCTAGAGTCGCAAAGTAAGGAGTTGATCCTAACTTGGCAGGTTTGAATACCTCTGTAGGACGTCTAGACCGGTCGTTCGGATGAGACTGTTTAAACCGAGGTCCTGTGTCGCAGTATGAGGTGCTGGCACGAGAAAGATCCCTCCCTGCTCAATGGCCCTAAGTGCCGAGCATAGAAAAAATTTGAAAATTTGCAGTGGAAAAAACTTTATAAGGGTCTTATGGAAAAAAAAATAGTCTGCCTTTACCAGAGGCCGATAGGCCTTATAGATCACCTGAGTATGATGCAACAACTTTTCTACAATTGAATTTGGTTTGTGTTTTAAACAAGAAACCATGATATTCACAATTTTGAAAGAGGCACTATTGCTCAACTGAATATATACTTAGCAAGCTTTAATTTCTTAATACTACAAGGCAGAGAAGGAACAAAACAAGAGGCACAGGGAGCTTGAATCACTCTTCTGGTAAATTGTACAACCTATCACTGCTAATTGAAGCCTCTAAGTATCCGGAGTGTATATTAAGATAAAGCTTTTAAATTCAAAGGGTAAGTCATCATGACCTTCATTTTAGATCAAACACTCTGAGAACCCAAGATGATTCAAAACAAATTAATATATACCTAAGACATTTCATAGTACTAAGTAACCTACTAAGAGTAGCTCATAGTGACAGACTCATCTAACTTTCAGTACACATACTACGAGGACAGAAGATGCAACAACTGACAAAGTTTGACGATTTTAAGCCAGTTTATACCTAAAATTCACATGCACCTGACGTTACTTATTTTTCTTCCAATAAAAAAAAATATATACTCTTACCTAATGTGTTTATTATTAGGTAAGGGTATATATTTTTTTATTAAAAGAAAAATAAGAAACACCAGGTGCCTTTGCTAAAGTGTTTCATTATAACCATAAAATTTCCAAAGTAGGTCACAGTGACCTTCTTTTCAGTTGACATACTTTGAGGACGCAAGATGCATCAACTGACACAGTGTAATGATTCTAAGCCAATATGTACCTGAAAACATATTTAATCAGATCACAGAGACCTACTTTTCAGCTGACGTAATCCAAGCACCAAAATACATCAATCAACAAAGTTTGACGACTCTAAACAGATTAGTACCCGAAAACATTTACATATAGCCATAAAATCCCAAACGTAGGTCAGAATAACCTACATTTAAGTCGACATAAACCGAGGTCATAACCTACATCAACTTACAAAGTTTGATAATTCTTAACCAGGTTAGTACTGATATATTTAAAATGGGTCACAGTAACCTACTTTTCAGTCAACAAACACTTGCGTTTCTGGTGTTTTAAAGTCAGTTAGTACCTTAAGTCAAAAAGGTGATTCAAAATTAAATGGCTGAAATCTCACTGTACTAAAAGCAAAGGAAAGTAACTCATTTCACATCACTATTTAATAGTGAACTCATTTCCAATGTCATGTTTAGTTTTAATCATGAAGCCTTAAAATTGTGAAGACAATATGAATAAAGTATAAATATGAACATAATTTACCAAAAATTTTATTCATAAGATACTAAAATATTTAAATACAGTCAAACCTTTTTATCTCAAACAAAAATGTTTACAATACTTATATCAGATATAGGATTCAAGATACTTAGAATAAAATACATAAACACCAGTGATCAGAAGTTCTGACTCACTTTAGATATATTCATGGTGTTTGAGAAATTGATGTTCAAGATACCAAAGTTCAATTGTGTTTAAAGTATCCGATCCATAATCGCCTCAGATTCAATAAAACTGAATGCATAGCAGATATGAATTGGCTGAATACTGAGTACATATGAAAATGGAGACATAATCTTTATGTTTTAGTCTCAATATGTATTGTAAGAGCATTAATTTGTCCTATTTTTTTTTCTTGACCCGTCCTTAAAGAGTTATGCCCCTTTGCTCTTAATCAAAATTCATCTTTAAAATAATCGATCTGTAAAATTATTTTTTAATCATTTTTCTATTCCTAATAATTATATACATCTTTTAACTAAAGCATTCTTTTTATTCATAGTACACTGTATTTAAATTTTTATTAAAAAAATAACTGCTCCCATAGACCTCAATGCATTCTTAATTAATATTTATTACTGATCAAGTAATGTGTATTAAATTTTTGAACATTTCTCCTGTTAAATTCTTTTCTATATAAACTGCTTTGAATTACATGTAGAGTCTCTAATACTGGATGGATATTCAAGATTAGAAAATATTATCTTATAATGGATCGGATACCTTAATTTTAACCTCCTCGAAATCTTGATATGACCCTCATACAATGACACAGTATATGACAGGTACAGCGTATTCATAATAGCTTATGATGTCAATCACAACTTATACACAAAAGGTCTACATATCTAGTACTATCTACACATTTTTTTTTTCTTTTTTTAACTAAACAATTTTTAAAAAATGCTTGTAAACAAATACCAGATAAAATATTTATCACAGATATTGGAAACCAGAAACTACTCAGAACTTAGTGTATTACATCTGTTTCTCTGACCAAATACTAAATTGTCACATTCAAGTACTTGTTCTTGAAAGTAGACTCCCAATATGCTTTTGCATCTGACCAATAATCCACACTCTGCTAAATAATTATAAGTTAATAAAATTTCAGGTGTCAGATAAAAAATCTATGCATGCATTTCTATGGAATATTACAATGTCAAGATTGGTACATCTATTACAGGAGTTATGGTACAGATTTCTTGTCGAAAACATTTTTAAAAATTCCTTGGCAAATCCACAAAACGTTAGACACAAAGTAAAAATTAAGACCTCAGTGTTCAAACTGCAAAACTTAAAAACAAACAAAAATCTCAGAAAAAACAGAATGACCCATAACTCCTTGGAAAATCTGCAAAACATTGGACACACTGTAAAGATAAAGACGTGTTCAAATTGAAAAACTTCATGAAAGCAAAAACAAGAGGCCCATGGACCACAACGCTCACCTGAGTAACTTTGACCTGCTGTTCTTCACCAGATTTCGCCGCCTTGTAATAGCTAATATGACCCCACCTTACCCTTCGGTACAATTTAGAATGTGCACAACCTCAGTATGCTTCCACTTAAGTTTCAGCATTTTTGGCCCAGTGGTTCCAGAGGAGATTTCTAAAGATTTTTCTCTATATTTCATAGTAAAACTGGGATTCCCTAATGTGGCCCCGCCCTGCCCCCGTTGATCCTGATTTGAATGATTTAGAATCTAAACTACTCCAGGATGCTTTCACCAAAGTTTCAGTTTTTCTGGCACATTGGTTTTAATGAGAACATGTATTTTTAATGAACCCAGCAAAACAACACTTTTGGTCAACTTTAACACGTCGATTATAAGACCACATCCTTTGCCTTCAGGGTGATGCCTTAAACAATTTCTAATCTACAACATATCCCCATCCTTGTGTATTAGTTTGATGATAATCTGTGCCCAGTGCTATTTGAGAGGATTTTTTAGCAACCAATACTTTTTGGCTCATAACAGCCAACAAATATAATTTACAACAAAATTAGGATAATTTTTTTTTTGTAAAATAAATACGTTTACTTTATAGCAATTTTTCTGCAAAAAAATGTTACTCTATCGAACACTCTTATTCATTTGGTACTAGTGTACAGTTGTACATTAGTGCCAAATGAATGAGTGTTCAATAGATAAACGTTTTTACAGGGAAAATGTTATCAAGTAAATAGCTGGTAAAGTACAGTTGTACTTGGGACATTTAAATCTATATTTATCTCCAACCAGGAAGTAAATTGCAGATCTCGTCTAAGTCTCGACTAAAATCTCACTCTGACATTCCAAAGTTTGCTGACAGATAAGATATTATACAATTAGAGGCCATTTGCATTACATGTAAGTACCTGCAATGCTTGCAGACATAAAATTAGATTTTTTCTTAAAAAGGGCATTTTGTGTTCATTCAATTTTAGTCATACATGTATTTGTCTAAGATAATTATAATCCAAGATTTGATACCACAGAATAGTTTACAAACTTTACTCCTCTATGGAGGTATTCCTTTTTAGTCTGACTAGTGACTAGGGTCAGACGACTAAAATTTGTGTTGGCAAGGACTACCTGGTTAATAGTCGAACGATGCGAGTATCGGTTAGTAAAACTGCTGTTCGGTACTCGGATAAAAATACATTTTTCATAGTAAATACGTATGAAATAAAGTTATTTGTAAATGTATATTGACATATTTCCCTAATTTTTACCGTTAGACTTGCTGTAGTGGTTCACAAATAGGATCAGTTTGTTTTGATTAATTTAATTGATGACTTTAATTGCCAGGGGGTACACGTTTTGAAGACCTGAGTTATAATTACCTCATTTAGACCTGTGTTAGTCAGAGGAACATGCCGCCGCTAACATCTAAAGCGTGGAAATATTGTTAACTAACTCGAAATGGTTCACCCTCAAAATCTGTTAGATACAAATTTACTGTGAATCGAAGTTTTTGTATACGGGTGGAACTACAAATATTCTAAATCACCTATTTCGGAAAAAAATAAACCCGGCTATCCATTCTCGCTCAACGATTCTTATCTAGTCATTCCCGCTAATTCAGTACCATCAGAATGCATTTTCTCTATGACAGAAAATATTATCACCAAGTTGCAAAATGGTTTGTCCTCATGTGTTGATCAAATTATTTTCTCAAACATAAACAGACTGCCCGTTTCAAGTGACATTTAAAATCAAAATTCTTCGAAGATATCGTGTGTGGGTTTCTTTGAATTTGTATTCATATAATGTTCATATTCGTTACATTTGTGGTTTATTTCTACCAATAAGTAAAATGATGAGATTTATAATAAATACGGAAATATTAAAAAAACATCCGACTAACCGGGTACTCAATCTGAAGATGAAGCGAGTAACAGGTTACTAAAAATCGTCCGATTTGCCAACACTAACTCAAATTCATATGTATATAGTTTTCTAAAGTTGATGTTAGTTTAGCTTTAACAATTTAATTCAATATGTAAAATTGTTCCAATATTGAAATCCATATGCAAGTAACAAACTTTTCAATGTTTATTTTAGATGGCACTTTTCAAACCGAAAATTCCAAACACTGCCCAACACTTTGTAGAGTGTGGTGTTGAAGATTGTGAGAGAAATTGTGAATTCTACTGCAATATCTGTCATCAAAAGATGTGTAAACAATGCAGGAACCAACATCTGAAGATTTCAGATAATAAGAACCATGAGGTGGTCCTTTACCAACAACGTAAACGACAACTTCCTGTGGAGAAATGCAAGATCCACCCCACTAAAGATATTGATATTTTCTGCGAAGAATGCAGTGTTCCTTTATGTTCAAAGTGTTCAACAATGCAAGATCATCGGGGGCATCAATTTATTGATTTAGAAATTATACACACAGAGAAATTTGAAATTTGTCAAAGGGAACTCTCTAAAATCCATAATTACTTTGTTCCTACATCACAGGATTTACAGAGAGAAGTTCAGGAAGATGCCACAGAAGTTAAACAGATCATGGACAGCATACGGACATCAATGAAGTCTGAAGCTGAGTCTCTCAAAAACATGGTGGACACAGTGCTCTCAGAAAATATGGAAGAGTTACACCAAATAGAGCAGTCATTACTGATGAAATTAAAGAGTCAAGAGAAGACATTTGAGGAATATATTGCCCATCTCAGTGACCTTGTTAAAGAGTTCCAGAGTTACCTATCCACTACTAAGCTAACCAACTTCACAACTAAACTTCCAGAGAACTTACAAATAAAATCCATACCAGAAACCACAAAACCTGTCACACCAGAATTTTCTTCTGCTCAATACAGCAAAAACAATGTTGCTAAATTACTAGGGAAGATAACTGAAACAAATAGAAAGGAAACATTAAGAAGAGTAAAGCCCATGGAAGACGTGATATCTGACGTGAAACAAACATTGTCTCTATCTACCTCTGTCACCAAGTTCAGGGAATTCAATTTACCAGGTGTTGCAAATGTGTATCATGTATCACTAGATCAATCAGACAGACTCTGGATCAGTGACAAGTATGGTAATCTTGTCCAAACAGATCTACAGGGGAATGTGATACAGAAGATAAAAGCCAGTGGTAGATATCAAGGTTACCACACGATGACACAGGACAGGGATCTTATCTTTACAGATCAAAACAAGAAAGTCATCAATAGGATAAAACGGGATAATAATATCACTGACTTCATTAAAACTGGAGACTGGTCACCACTCAGCATACACTCCTCCGACATCAACAAGGATCTACTGGTGGGGATGGAGACAGATAAAGAGGCTAAAGTCACCAGGTACAACAAGACAGGAAAAGAACTACAGAACATACAGAGGGATAATATGGGACAGGACCTGTATAGAACACCACACTACATCACAGAAAACATCAATGGAGATATCTGTACATCAGACTATGGTAAATCAGTAGTGGTGGTGAATAATTCAGGACTATACAGGTTCTCCTACACAGGTCAGGAGTCAGGGTTCTATCCCTATGGAATCTGTACTGATGTCCTCGGTCACATCCTGGTGTGTGATGCGATCAGTAAAGCTGTTCACCTACTTGATCAGGATGGTCAATTCTTGTCTCTATTACTCACACAACAACCAGGGGTAAGGTATCCCCGTAGTGTGTGTGTGGATGATGAGAACAATTTCTATGTGGGACAAGATGGCACCAACACACTGACAGTATACAAGTATCTAAAGTGATTATTATTCTGAACATTGTAATTATAAAACTTAAATTTTGGATTTCCAGTACAAAAATGCATTTCCTGAATAGTGTTCAGAACTTTGAACATTATACTGAACAAATTGTACATACTGTAAGTGTAAGTTCATTATACCCCCCGCTTGAAAAGCGGGAGGGTGTATAGTAATCGTTAATTCCGTCCGTCCGTCCGTCTGTTACGCTTTGGGGTACCCATCTCTTATCCGCAACTCCTCTCATACCACTGAATGAAATTTGATGAAACTTTCAAAGAATCTTTATTACATATTGCCATTGTGCACCTCCTATTTTACTTTTTGATCTGACACATATTTTGGGTTTCCCGGCCACAGGAAAACATGGACTTTTTCACCAGTCATAACCATATGGGAGGCGGGGGGTATCATTTAGTGAGCTCATCGCTCACAGTACCTCTAGTTTCAATGGAAAACATTTTGAATTTGAAATTAAAAGATATCTGTCTTATTCTTCTATGTTTAAATGATGACAAAAAATTACCCAATTTTCATTAAAAAGAGAGTTTTAGTAAAATGTTTCTACTCAGTAATTAATTCATGCTTACAGTAATGTGATTTGATTTCAATACTGATACTTTTAAAACATATTGTTATCTTTAAAAAATATAATGAATTAAAATAACACCATACATGTGATGAATCTTTAGACCCAAATCCTGTAATGCACAGTAGTCTTTGAAATGCTGGACTTAAGTTGAAAATACTGTACGTTGGCACAAAAAGTGTAATAAAAAAACAAACAAAGAACTGTACAACATATCAACCAAAAATCATTATAATGGCGTATTTTTTTACTTATAAATTTCAAATAAATGAAAAAAAAATGTTCCACTGTATGCAGTGTTGAATGTAATTACTCATTTTTAAGAAACTCTTGCAGCTTTTAGAATTTCAGCAATCCCATGGCCAATGCTGAACTTGGTAAAAAGAGTTCCACAGTACAGTGTTTAATGCAAGAGTCTGGTCTTCTCAATTCATCCGCATTTTTCATAATTCTAAAAGCAGTTTTCTTCCTCTCTGGTAGAATGGACAGTACTTATGCCTAAACGGAGCAAAAAAGTCAAAGATTAAATTTCGTGCTGCTGTCACACAGTTGCACTGTCAGATTTTATTGTCGCTTCTCTTTTAAATGTCCCCCGCTTGGAACAGTGGTTAGAGCGTTTGCTCTAGAATCGCAAAGTAAGGAGTTGATCCTTACGTCGCGGGCTCAAATACCAGTGTAGGACGTCTAGACCGGTCCTTCGGATGAGATCCCTCACGAAAAAGATCCCTCACTGCTCAATGGCCCTGAGTGCCGGGTAAAGGACGAAATTTGTAGAAATTCACCGTCAAGTGGTGGCATCTCCATATGAGTGATAAATTCGTGAGAGGGACGTTAAACAACATGCAATCAATCAATCTTCTTTGAAATGTCTCTTTTTAATTTCTACTGACAAACTTTTAACTATTTACAGTAGAAAGAAAACTTTAAAAGGGTCTTATGAAAAAAAAAAAAAAAGTCTGTCTTTATAAGAGGCCCATAGGCCTTTTAGTTTGCCTTAAAATGTTTAATTATATTCATAAAATTTCCAAAAAAGGTCACAGTGACCTTCTTTTCAGTTGACATACTTTGAGGACTCAAGATGCATCGACTGACACAGTGTAATGATTCTAAGCCAATATGTACCTATAAAAAATTTCAATCAGATCGCAGAGACCTACTTTTCAGCTGACGTACTTCTCCAAGCACCAAGACAGGGATTGGGGTAATTGAATAAAGTAATTGTAATTGGACGTAATTAATTACATTTTTCAAAGTAATTGGAAGTAATTTGTATTTGAGCTTGCCTTCAATTACAAGTAATTGAATGTATTGAAAATTACTTTTCAATTACATTTTAATTACTTTTTTTCAAAATGAAAGTTTATAATAAATGTGTTGTTTACTGATACATAATTCTTATTCTGGTAAGTTTATACTTAGTACCTATTCCCACTTTTAAAAATCTCAATTCTAGCTATTCCCAATTGCAAAAAACAATCATGATTGTTTAGATAGTTAATATGTTTTTACGGTAATTAGACTAACTACATCCCTTTTTAGATTTACCTATATTCTATTCATTTTAAGATAGAAAATTATGGATTTGTGAAAAATATTTATTTCTTTCAAAAATACGGATTTGAGAAAGTAACAAAAATGATTTTGCCATACACCATACTGGTGTAGCATGGGCTTGTGTTTGTACAATTATTAACTGTCTCATAATGTTAATTGTTTAAATGGTTTGTTCCCGTTTTGCACACATTTGAATTAATAATATTAAACAAATATTAACAATTTATTCAATAAAATTAAATATTTTCCCATAAATATATAGAGAATTTTAATAAAATGCTTATAAAATTGTATTAAACCTCTTTAGAATACATTGAGCTAAATCAGGTATTCACAGGTAAATCCAGGTAACTTCAAACCAGAAATCAGACTATAATTGCTATCAAAACACACTTCACACACTTCACACCTATTGTTCTATACTAATGACCAAATGTGTGCAAAACGGGATCACACCGTTTAAATTGTTTATACAGTGTGTCACACTGCCCAAGGCATTTGGTAAAGGTTTAATGGGTGCTTATCATTACCGCTACATTTTCAAAATTTTCATTACCGCTACATAGTCATTACCGCTACAAAAAACCTTACATTACCGCTACATAAAAAAGTATACATTACCGCTACATTGCCTCTTTCGTTAGCCAGTCACTTACGAGTGTACAGTACAACCTATAAATGCATACGACCCGTTTCCCCTGCTCACCAAGGGAAGGTGAAAGTAGGACTTTGAGCAGGATGTTTGTTGTTTTTTTTTTTATTAAAATCAATTTTATTTCATAAAAAATTAAAATCAAACACTGTTCATAGATATAATTCTAAGTTTTGTCAAATGTTTTTTACATTATCGGTAAAGCCTTGAAAGCCATTTGCTTGACATATTATTGCCTTGTCATTTCCCCACTGTCGTAAAAGTGTGTTGTTCTCCTTTCGTCCTGGAAGAATCCTGTTTCTTGCAGAAAAAGTAACTTTTTGTCTGGACAGCATGAATCTTGGCCAAATGAAATCAGAATTTTGTACAGGTGTGAGCCCCTCTCATTCCAAAGAACAAAAAAATGAAAAAAAGTTCACTATAGAAAATTTATATAAAATTTTTTTTTTTAAAAATAGAACTCAAGTAATTGAAATGTATTTAATTACATTTGTCAATGTAATTGAAAGTAATTAATTACATTTCAAAGTAATTGACCCCAAGCCTGCATCAAGATACATTAACCATTGAAGTTTGATGACTCTAAACAAATTAGTACCTGAAACATTTAAATATAGCCATAAAATCCCAAAAGAAGGTCAGAATTACCTACATTTAAGTCGACATACACCGAAGACATAAGCTGTATCAACTGACAAAGTTTGATAATTCTTAACCAAATTAGTACTGATATATTTAAATAAGGTAATAAAATATTTAAAATGGGTCACAGTGACCTATTTTTCAGTCAACAAACTTTGATGTCTGGTGTTTCCAATTAAGCCAATTAGTACCTAAACAGCAGACATCTAATTTTCTAATTATACTTTATTAATGTTGTTCAGATATAAGAAATAATGTGTGAATAGGTTACTGAACATTTTGCATCTAAAAATGACACAAGAACACTAATTCAGTTGTTTAAATTTGAAAGCTGTATTAATTAGCTCAAGGTGGCAATTCAAAATGTCAAACACTTGAAATTCACAAAATACTGAAACTGCTTACAATTCTGACCCGTTTTGCAGAAAATAAAATGAAAAAACTACAGTTTACTTATCTAAATTGATAGAATAATGTTTAAAAAAAAATATTGAATAAAACTTTGAAGACACTGTTGTTAATTATAACATGATTTTTATGACACGGATCATTGTTTTATGACTTCTCTTATTAAGGCAAACTTTTGACGACTTCCACCAAGAACTTTTACTTATTTATATTCGAGTCTTTTATTAATGTTGATTTCAAAAGACTCCAATATAAATCAAATTGTCTTTCTTAATATACATGCAATAAATCTAGAAAACTAATTATTTTCTTATCACTAGTCTAAGTTCACTTCAGTTTGTCATAACACGTGAATTAAGATACTGATGTAAAAATGAGGATGAACATGTATGATACAAGCTTACATTTTTAAAACTTAATGGACTGACCAAAAGAAGATGTACCAATTTACGAGGGGTTATCAAAAAGTTCGTGGACTAGCGTCATAATATTAAAACTGCTTTAGGCATATCAATGAATTTTAAAATATCAAGTTAGCATCACCTTTTGCAACTGTGAATATAAACCATAAATCATAAATTTTATTTATAATAAATTAGTAATGTATTTATAAGCAGTTTACGCAAAGAAAACGTTTTTGCGATCATTTAAAACATGTTTTATATTGATTTATGGTATGTGTTGACACAATATCATAAAATATGAATTCTCTTCCTTATGGTTGATAATTCATAGCAAATCAGTTGTGAAGAAATACCTCTATGATATGCTGATATAAAAATGCAAAAAATATAATGAGATAAAATTCAGCAAAGACAGCGGCTTAAATTAGGGAAATATTTTAATTTTATGATTACCATTTATTGTTATTTCTGGATAAAACTAAGAAAAAAATAAGAAATGTACTTGTACCTATATTTACTTATTGATTTATAGTGTATGTATATTTTATTGTATAAAGTCATTCCTAGGTTCTATTAGGTGTTGGTTGTTGACAGGGAAGGGGGGCAGAATGATTAGAATGAAGAAGACAAGAGATTATCTGTTTAAATTATTTCTTATCAAAACAAAATACTTGTTTTTTTGCAAAATAGTTCAATATTCAGATGTTTGTCAGTGCTAACTTACCTTTTTTTAAGTGCAAAAAGGTCAAAATTTATGACAGAAGAGTACGAAAATAAAAGAAAACGTCATATTTCTCGTTTATTTTATCATAAAGGTATACTTTTTTCCTTGTTAAAATAAAGAGAGGGGTCATTTCTTTCAAAAAATATGAATTACAACATTTTCACACAAAGACTTTTTAAGATATTACCTGTTATGCATGTCGGAATTGTAAAAAATACGACAAGAACTTACATTGTGCTCCTTTATAATTTTTCATGCGAGATGAATTACAATGAGTTTGCCTTCATTTTAAAGATACAAGTCATATATATGAAATACATGTTGATTTCGAATGTGATTTGACATTTTTGGTTCTTTTTATAGCATATTTGGAGTAGAACAATAATGTCTGAAAATAATCTATTTTTAGCATTTCAACTGTTTTTGC